TTCCGTTGTTGTTTTTCGGTTTATTTTGGACTGTTTTAGGTCTCCGAGCCTTTGCTGTCCGTGTCCTTGTTGTTATTGTTTATCCTGTGGGCCTAAATCATATTAATGAATTTTCTTTTAGTCATGTTTCGGACCTTGGTCAAGCCTGGCCCCAAGGGCTAAAAGTGGAAGTTTTTTGGGTGACATTAATTACGCAAAATTAAATTTGATATCCTCGCATTAGCTGGGAATCAAGAAACTTACAAAACTGAAACGCTTCACCGAGTTTTACTTACTTTTAACGGGGGAGTTTTAGGTTTTATTTTGTTGTATTGGTTTTTTTGTGGGTAAAAGGTGAATGGGGGGATGTTGGGTGCTTTGTGGGGTCGCCACTTGAGCGGCTTAGCTTAATTTATGCTTTAAAAAATAATAAAAAAAGGGGAGAACAAGGAATAATAATTGCCTGCAATGCGAAATCCGCTTTTGGTCATTAGCGGAGGAGAGCCTTTTGGCCGGGGGGAAAAGGGGTGAGCTTTCGGCCAAAGGACGAATGCGTGTGTGTGTGTGTTGGAGGAAGGGGATTCCCGCTGAATTTATTTGAACCGCGCACTGCGGACCTCATTAGCAATAGTTTTGTTTGGCTTTGTCTGGTTTTTGGTTCAGTAGTGGAGTTGCTCCGTGAATGTTTATTTTAACAGGGGATACTCTCCTCTCCCCTTTCCGCAAAAATCCAGGCATAAATCATGGCCCCAGCCTGCACTGACAGCTGCGGCGCCATCAATGATGATGATAGGGGATTGGGTCCTGGGGTCCTTATCAGTTAGCCGGCACTATACTAATACCAATACTTGGCTTTCAGCTGTGGGCCAACTAATTAGCCCACAAATGTGCGACATCGGGGAGGCCATTGTGGAGGGTGACATGCAGCGGTGGAGTTCTGGACAGTGTCCATAAATAATGACAGCTAATTTAAATGTTTCGGTAAATGGGAGTAGTTTTCACAGATCCATGGATTAACAGCCTAGAGATTGGTCCAATGTTTTGTCAAAAATGTTGGATTTTCACGTTTGAAAGGGGGTCATTATAAAAGGGGAATCAACTATCTGTAATAAAACAAGTATAAAAGGATAGAATTTACTTATAATAAATTATAAAGTATTAAATCATTCTTCCTATTTCGTTGAGTCTTTGACAATGTATTCCTATTTGTATGTACCTAAAAGAGTAGAGAGAAAAATAAGGCCCTATGGAGTATATAAAGTTTTCTTAAAAGAAAGATAGAAAAAAGTCCTTATAAATTCTATGAGTCTTCTCAAATTATCCATATTTCGTTTACTTTATATTTAAGTATTATTTACCAATTTCTTCATTAATTTCATGATAAAATATCTTATTTCGCTCATTACCTCTTTCTTATAGCTTAATGTCATCCTACAGACATCAAGTTCACTCCCTAACAGTTATTTTTCTACTTTTATTAATTACTTTTTAACTACTTAACCCTTTCTTCTTTGAGTTTTCAATTAAGGAAGTACCTTCATTTAAAACTCCACTTACTGTGTCATATTTTTCCTTCTGCCACCGTTTCCATTACAATTATTATTATATTTTCTTCTTTTTCCTGGGTAAGTTTTCCTCTCCCCTATGAAGTTGCCATGCCTACTATTTCATTCATTTTAATGTCTAAGTTTTCTACCTTCCGGTCGGTGCTGTCAGGTGTCCTTGGTAATACTAACCCATTTATTTGGCCCCAAACGAGGAGAATGATGAAAAATATGGTACCGGATGTTTTGTTTCCCCTCTCGTACTCACTCACTCACTCAATTCCTAACAGGAGCTGCTCCTTTTGCCTTTGACTGGGCGATGGGGATGCGGAAAGGAAGAGAAACGAGGAACGTTGCTGGATTGAAGCTGGTTAAACGAGGAGGCCAATCAAGCTGCATGAGTGCATCCTGCTGGATCCCAGCTGCAGCCAACTCGCATCCAACTCGTACACACACACACTCACACACAGTCGCACCGTGGAGGAGAAGGAGACACGTGTGTGGCATCATCATTAACGGCACAGAAAGGATCCTGGCTTGCGGGTAAGGGGTACCGAGACTTACTCCTTTCACCTGACTTCCCCTCCTTTCATAGACCTCTTGTCTTTGCTGATTGCCTGCTGCTAAAGACACCAAACTTGCTGCAAAAAGAGGCTTAAAATAGATAAGTCTAAATTAAGGCAGTTGATATTCGATCAAAGAACGATTCCGAGTGTATCTTCTTAGTATATAAGGATACAGTTGAACTTCTGTGTATCGAACTAAGTTTGCTTTAATGTATTCAAAAAAGTTTAAATTGTCTTTTTCTGTTTGTAATAAAGTTGTTTTTAAAACTTTCTTATTTTCTACACATTTATTTTTGTCATATGTACATACTTGCTAATGATTATATTTTTAAGAAGGATAACTACTAGAATAATAGAAAAAGCTTAGAGTCCTTGACAGTCTGCTTTTTATGGCTGTTTCAGATACAGATATAGGATATTTTATAATCCAAAATAGACAGTTGTTAGTGGATCAAAGAACAATTTCGATCTGCTGTTTAACTTTTATGTCACAAACTTGGCAAAACTAGAAACAAAGTTTGCTTTAATATATTCAAAAAAGTTTGAATTGTCTTTTTGAGTTTGAAATTTATAAGTTCCAAGTTTTAAAGTGCTTATTATCCAGAATTTTTAAGTCATGTTTACATTTTAATAATTACATTTTTAATAAGGATTACTACTATAATAATAGAAAAAGCTTAGATAACTTTTTGACGCTTCGGTTTAAAACTGTTTTTGACTCTAACAATATATCTTAATAATATAATATAATCTAAACAATAATATTTTTTCCATTTGAAAATACAATAATATATTCCCAATATATTTACTAATTAACCACAGATATATATATGTATTTAAGGAACTATCAAAGTTTATAGTTCCTTTTCTAAGTTCAGTTTATTGCCAGACTCTGTGAGTTAAGGACATTCCAGGTTAGGTAAGACTTATCATGGCGAATCTGCCAGAGATATATGTGAATTGAGATTCCGAGTTGAATTCGATTTCGATCCAAAGCGGAATACTGAGTGCGGTAATTGCATATTCCGGGTTAAATCAGCTTATCCCAGTCGAAAATGCTAATTTGTTCGTGCGTGTGTGTGTGTGTTTGTATGCGATGCATTTGCTCGTGTGTGTGAGTGTTAAGCCGAGCATGAATAATTCAAATCAAAATTAATTTGTTATTAGTTTTGCAACAAACACACAATTACACACACACAGACACACAAGCAGAAGCAGCACAAGCAACAGGCCAAACAGACGTTGGGAAAAGCATTGGAAAAACTTTGTAAACCAATAAGTGTGGCCAAGCATAAAGACTGTCTCATTAGCAACTATGTTGCCGAGCAAGACTGAGAGAGATAGAAAGCATAAAAAAGAGAGATAGAGAGACTGAGCTATAGCGTCTTAAAAATTTGCATAAAACACTAAAAATATCAACGACAGCAAAAAGCAACAACACGCGGAAAAATGTAAATATAAAAAAATAGGAAAATAAAAAAATATGGAATTCAAATAAGCCTTAAAATTAACTTAGTGACGAAGGCAGCGACAGCAACAACAACAACATCATCGGTGACAGCAGCAGAAACAGCAGCAGCAAAGAAAAACAATGGAAAAGGAAAAATAAAATTAAGCTTCGTGACAAGACATCAACAAACAAATCAAGCAGCGAAGAAAAATGAAAATGAAATGTAAATGGGACGAAAGTCCGCCTTGGTGGCAACAAGGAAAATCGAAAGGGAAAGCTTTCTATGCCTAAAGAAGTTGTGATTTTCCGTTTACTCAAAATAGGTTCGATCGCAGTCGTTCTTAAGCCTTCGTATTTATTTATACCATGAATTATGGGTGTTTGTTTGTCTGCAATGGAGTTCAGCAGTGTGTTGCGGCTCGACTCCGCGAATGCAGCGCAACGAACTCGAACAGGTTGGTTGGAACCTAACACAACAGCGAGGTGTGTTCCAAATGTTGTTACACTATATCTTATCCCCAAAGTTATAAATAAAAGATTATACATTTATGTTTATAAACTTATATTTGGGGTAAATTAAAGTTTTTCAAATATCATAAATGCATATATATCAAAGTTGATTCTAGAACTAAGACTTACCTCTCATTGTAGAATTATATTCTTGATGACTTCATTAAAACCTTTTATGATATCATCTAGAGGGAGTTTCTTCCTGGTTATCCAGATATATTACATTGGTCAGGTGATATTTTTTAGGTCGAAGGGCAATCACTATCATAAAAACTTTCACTATAGATGTTAACAGTGGGAAGGCCACGAACAGACTGACGGCGGTGCGACGGGAGTACCTGTATTTATAGTCCCCCATTAAAGAGAATAGAGAAAGTGAGAGTGAAAGTGAGAGAGAAAGAAATATCTCAAGAAAGAGGGAGAGAGAGGGAGAAAGGGACAGATAGAGAGAAATTTATATCTCTAGAGATAGATCTATATACATAGATATAAAAAGGACGAAAGAGAGAGAGAGAGAGAGAAAGAGAGAGGATTTCTGTACATTTCTTGATAACTTTTATACTCATCCTCAATATTTTATACTAACTTTAAGTTAAAAAGTTCTTAAATTGATTTATTTCTGAGTTGTATTTCGATTTATCTGCAATGTATGATGCTTTTTGTGTTCCTTAAAGTTTATTTATGTAAGTCTTTAAATAATTAAAATACGTTAGTTTAGGATTCTCTGTTTGCATTGGTAAACTTCAACTAATTTTCTTGTTCTAGGCAAAAGAACTCCCACTCTACCACCCACTCTCAATTCGAACATCCAACATGTTTGAGTTGCAAGCTCGAAGCAAGCTCGCTTGGAGCCGGCTGTCATTGTGGGGGGCCACACTTGCCGCCTCTGCGTTCGCCTCTGCTGGCATTGGCGCTCGGCTTCAGATTCAGATATAGTTTCAGATTCCCATTCATTTTGTTTATAAACCGTGTGCTGTGCGGATGTGCGTCGCTGCGTCGAGTCAAATCGCCCGCTAAACACGCTACGAAGCACGAACTTTAGGTTTACCGCTCGTCGGTCCGTTCCAACTCCGCGAAGGCTGCCGCCCGCCACCCACAGGCTCTGTTCCCCGTCTTGGAAAATAAAAGAAAAATATAAAAGCGAAGAAAAGCCGAAAGAAAAGCGCGCGCGGCAAGTGAAGCGCACAGGTTAACCTGTGTACGTGTGTGTGTGTGGGATATGCCCGTGCGTATGGGTGATATACAGTGTTTATTTGTGTGATTTCTTTTGCTTGCTGGCCAATTGTGGGGCCTAATTGAATGCTTGTCTCATATGGGTTAAAAGAACCCAACAACAAGAACAACAACAACAGCCGACTCGAGTGTTTCGCAACGCCATAAAAAAACATATATATACAGATATATATATTGGAAAAATAAAGAAGAGAAACACCAAAAGCAACACAAATACATATAAACAGGCGCACATATCGACGAGCAGCAGAGAAGAGAAGCTAAGCCAGAAATCATACATATATATATATACACAAATATATATATATATATATAGATATAGATATAGCATATAAAAACCAGTTTGGAGCCGCAGTAGCAGCGCAGTCGCAGCGTTTTAGCCGAGGTGAGTTCTGCATTGGTATGCGACTATCCGTGTGTGGGTGTGAGGTCTTGTGTGTGTGTCTGTGTCTGCCGCCCACATGTCGCGGCTTTCTCTGCCAGCTTCAACGTCGTCGTCAACGTCGGCGTCACAAACTGGCTTTTGTCGCTTGTAAAAAGTTCGAACAACAAAAAAATGTTTAATTTGATCGGAGAATCCACACACCCCTAAGCCCCCTCCAGCCCCCTCCAGCCCCCTCACAATCTCACCGAAAAAAATAAAATCCCAACAACTTGTTGAAGCATTCTTCAATTTCGCCAATCACACTGCGAAAATAACTATTAAATTGGAGGATATTTTTTTTATGTTGTGTATGAATATTTTTAAAATGTAATAAATAGATTTAATATATGTAAATAACATAAGGTATTTTTGAAAGTGTTTCTTAGGAGAGATTTAAAAATTTTCCTTAATATTTTTATTCACCTCCCTATGGAAGATCTATAAATAGTTCTTAATATTTTATTATATAAAATCTATAGAACATCTAGAACAATTACAGACTATTTAACAATCTTAGAACTTAGATCTTAGAACATAAATGTAAGAAAACAATCTATGCTATATGCCTCTAAAAAATCTAAATAATTTTCAACAGAAATTTTATATATATTCATCATAAATAATACAATCATTCTGGATTGAATCTTGACATGTTGAAATCGACATTATAAACCAGAAATGAAACCCTTTCCAAATGTTACAGTTTTATTTATTGTTTCAACTTTTACTACCAATGTAGAGATAATGTTTTTTATAATTCCAAATATCCATAAAGAAGTTAAAAAAAGATATGAACAATACAAACCTTCTCTACTTTATCCTCCAAAAATTTTTATTTCCCAATAAATAAATGGACTATGGACATTAAGTCTTGCATTTTCTTTTACATTACATTACATAAAATATATAATAAAAATGGAAAACACATTTAAAATAAAAACTAAAAGAGGCTTGTCTTAAAAATCAAAAGATTTTTAGACTCATATTTTATATTTTTTGTCTGAATTTCACTTTATATCCCAATGCCTCAAGTCAATCATTCTAGATTTGTTCTTAAAGAACTTTTCCACATTTGGACAAGAAATCCTTTCTAATTTCACAAAAAATATTTAATACAATTTCTAAAGAAATTTAAAATCCATAAAAAATATTTATTCCATCACCCAAATCTCTTTCCAAAATACACACAGAAGCATTCTCTTGGATATTAAAATAAAAACAAATTTGTCACAGCCTTAAACCTTATTAAAAATGTAAATATTTAATGGATAAATTCCGAATCTAGAGATTTGATTGTCTTATTTTTTCTTTGCTATGCTTCATTGGTCACAACACCGATTTGATTTTAGAACCTAGAAAATTTAAATCATTGCCAAAGACAGAGCTAGTGAAGAACTCGACAACAAAATACCAGAAAACTAAACTAATTTGCACAGTTTTGCGTTTGGCAAACTTTGTCTCTCTATGTTGGCAAAAAAAGACAAAAAAAAGAAGAAAAAACTCATTTAGACAAGAAGACGAAGCAGCAGAACAGCAACTGATAGTAAAGGCGAAACAACAACAATGGAGAAACCAGCCAGAAACACAGAAACCTCCGAAAAAGTTTTTAATTGTCAACTTTAAGCCGAAGCCAACTTTGGAGGAATACTATATAGAAGAGTAGTTGTTTTTTTTTTTCTTTCTCTGCTTTGACTTTGCCCCGCCTTTTTTATGGGCGGCACTCACTAATTGAAATTTAGTTTACTTGCTTTTAACCCTTTTTTGCCTCATTCAGGACTCCTTTTTTGTGGTAAAATGATTTGCTTAATGTTCAATGTTGAACATTTTGGTCTTTGTTGGTTATTTATTCAACTAATCAATATGGGAAAGGGAGAGAGAGAGAGAGAGAGAAATTCGATTGAGCATGCTAATTAGAATTTTCCCAAATCCCCATTGGGGTTTTCCCAGAGGTACTGACTTTATTTAAAGTTTTCCCCTAGCAATGTTACTTGTTTGTCTTTCGAGTTATCTGGTTAAGTTTTTTTCCAGCTTTTTTACTTGTAAGTATCTCTTTAAATAACTAAGTTTAAGAGGAGTGTAGTAGTAAAAAATTGTTAGCTAAGCTATTAAAGTTTGTACTTAAGAAATACACCTGGTTAGCTGTTATCTAAAATCTTGAAAGCACTTAAGATGCCGCAAACATTTAGGTTTATTGTTTAACCTTATGTAGCAAAATTTAACAGATTTATGACTCGTGATCTTTTTGTTAAAATATTCTTACTTTAAAGTTGCATAGTTAAAAACATAATTAAATAAAGAAATACTACAAATTTTGTATATACTCAAAAAAGATACATTAACTGTAAGGTTAATCATTGTCATAACTTTTAATACCACCCAAAAGGATTTTATAAGCTTCGGTGACTCCCAGACAGCTTCTTGCCTTTGACGCACTCTCGTAATTATCTTTCAATCCCTGTGTCCTGATCTGCCCCAATGTGCCCCCCTTTTGCTCAAGCCTTTTTAATTTGTTTGGCCTGCTTTTGCAGCATCTTTATGTACTCGTATTTCACAGTTTGCCTCAATTACGGGCTACCAAGACCAGGACTTCGTTTAAAAGGGAACTTTTGTTTTCGTGCCATTTTTCATATACTTTCTCCTAGCTACGCACAAATTAAAAGTTTTCAGGACTTGCTGGGTACGTGTATATATGTGTGTGAGCAAGGACTCTAGTGCATCTGAAACTAGGGACTAAAACTGCCAACTATCCCTGCAAGCCAGACTTAATGCGCAACAATATTTTTTCTATCGCACAGCAGCAGGCTAAAACTTTGTCCTGGGAATCCGAAAAAAAAATTCCTCCAACCATGTCCTGCCATGGCTCCTTTTCTACTTTCTCCTCTCTCTCTGCTCCATATATTGTAAACACTTTCACCGGGCAAATATTTGGAATACATTCCCTGCTGCCACAGACAGACTTTTGGCATAATTTGTATGCAAAAATCTCAAATAATAGACATGGGACGACACCCACTCCGTGAACATCCATGCATCTATGTATTTTAGAGGAATGTCGTCCCTGCTGGTGACAGTTTATAATTTCAATCAGTGTCATACTAGTGACAACTTGATATGTTTTATTGCCCTGACCAGGCATTCACCCATCACCCTTTATGCCTTAACGAAATTGAAGGGAAATTCATTTCATTCTTGAAGCCATTTTAAGTCGCAAAGTCAGTGGCAGGAAAAACAGGATATATTTACTTTAATTATTTCGCATGCTGGACACATGTCCAGCTATGAAAATATTCACACAAAAATGGTATGTACATATATATCGTGGGATAACTTTTAACTCTGGAAAGGAGTTTAGGTTATTTCTTTTGTGGCTTTAACAGAAATGCAAAGAAATTTGTTTAGTTTGTGGCCTGGCCACTGGATGTAATTGCAGACCTGTCCGCCTGGAGCTGGCCAATTGTGGACAAAACTCCAGTCAGGTGGACCACCCGGATTGCCTTCGTAACCAGAAATAACTGAGCACTTTAATTAAATTGCCAAATATTCCGTCCGAGCTTCAAAAACCAAAAGAAATAGAAAGGAAAATGTGCAGCTTGCCAACAAAAATGTCGAGAGCAAAGAACAGACAAAATTTTAAACAGAAATTTAAGCAAGTTCAACTGGAATGCAGAAACAAAAGCCTTTTATTTGGATATTTGAGGCTAAAGCTAGAAAAAAATGGAGATTCCTAACAGTATTATAGAGTTAACACTTTGAAATTATATATTTTTTAGTAACTTGAAGGCCAATTAACTTTTGTTCTTAACTTACTTAATCGAAATAATTAAAAGCACTATTGTTTCAACTGCTTTCATGAGGAAAACGAGCTGTTGAGTTCTCAAATTCTTTGCCTTATCAGACAGCTGTCTTTTCCCGACACTTTTCAGTCAAAGGATAAGCGCCTTTTGCAACTTGATCACAGACTGCAATTTGCAATCTGCAATCTGCAATCTGCAACTGCAGCAAACCCAAAGTTTTAGAAGATGTGGGGGCAGTTACGCAGCTAGCTATTGTTATGTTCCTTTGAAGACAATTTCAACTAAATTGCAAGTGCTGCAAAAGTTGGAGGGAGGCTACACCGAGTAGAAACCAGATACAGATACAACCAAACACACAAGTTGATTTCATGGGGCAAATATTTGAGCACCAAAAAAAATATATATACATATACACACAATATCCAAAAGTGAGTCAGCAAAGGATGGGAGCTCGTCGGAGCCGTATAAATATTGCATAAAGCTCGCGTTTGGCAATTTAATTCAATCTGTAGAGAGTATGGGAGTAATACCTTTAAGAATCTCGGGGCTCGGCAAATATTTGCATAAAATCACAATTAAAGCGATTGCCGGCTGCCTTTAATTGTTTTGTATCTCGCAGATACAATGTGTAAGCCACGCCGCATACATTATCACCAAAGCGCCTCCCGTCTGGCGGGCTGTCGTACCTCCCCCCTTTTTTTTGTCGGCAGAGTATGCAAAGTTAAAACAAAAAAATGTATAAATATATATGAATATATATACATATAAAACGTGGAGGCGTCGAAGCGAATTTATGACTCACGGGTTGATTTTTCCCCTCCAATATTCCTGGCTGTTGCTGATATGTATCTGTATCTTGGCAACTGCAACTGCAGCCCGGTAATTGTCGCTTACGTGTTAAAGAGGTGAGCTAACAAAGTTCCAGTACTTCTTTTTTTCGGTATACTTTTTGCACTTTTTTAGCTTTGGCACGCCAAAATGTCTCTCTTTCTGCGTATTTTTTTTCGTCTGAACCACATTTGCCTTTGAGGCATGCCACAAGTCTGCCTCCCTCCTTTTCACCTTGCTCCTCGTGCTCCTCTTCACCTGTTCTCAGGTGTGTTTGTGTGTGTGGAACGTGCCACAAGCTGCCTGCTGCTGGAAATTTTCGTTTCTTTTTTCATTTCT